AGCCTTTCCTTTGTGCAAAGGATCACAGCAAAAGCCACTTCGCTAACGAGCTCAGCTAACGGAGCCTAACATATACGGTTTCTTTATAGTTTTCCCTCTCAAGAAGAAATAGTTAATGATTAATTACAAAGGGAATACACAATTGGAGAAACGGTGGGTGGAGGGGACCGATCACCATTTAGCTTTACGAGACCAACATATAAGGCCACATGTGAGCCCTGCGTCTTGAGATGACGTGTAAGAGGGAGGTGAGGGGTGCGTGTGCAGCTTATCACAAAGGGCCACCACCCTGCTCTTCCACGAACCATCAATTCTGCCAGCGTCAGAGCAGGAAAATGACACTCGACCAGCCAACGGCTTAGCATGGAAGGTCTTACCTTCCCAAAGAACAAGCTCCATTACCTGTCGGGGCCTTGGCCTCGGCCTTGCCGCTCTGCCGGGCGCCCTTCTCGGCCCACACGCGGACCGTGTACTCCACGCCCGGCCGCAGGCCCATCAGCACGGCGCTGCTCTGCTCCTTCCCCACCGGGACCTCCCGGCTGTCTCCGTCCGCAGAGGTGTAGCGCACCAGGTACCTGTCGATGGCGGCCTGCACCGGGTCCCAGGACACGGTGGCCGTGGTCTCCGTCACCTGTTCGGTCACCAGGTTTTTGGGGCTATCGATGTCTGAAAGAAAATGATGATCAATAAACATGATTAACAAAGTTAGAGCTCATGGCCATGGTGCTTGGGATAGGCGGTTTCCTGTCTTTAAGAGAAACGAAAGAGCATAGAATTTACCAACTCTCTTGTTTATGAAAGACCACTACACACACAACCAAAATGATGACCTCGGTAAATATCCGAGCCTGTGATATGACAGTGCTTCAGGTAACACAAGCGTTTAATTAAACAAGTGCCTGAAATTCCAAGAATGAGCTAATGTCACTCCAGGAGAAGCAGGGTGTCAAGGCAAAGCCACCATAAAGTCTCAACTCTATCAACTTCTCCCACAAATTGCCTTTGGAGAGAAAGAATTGGTCTCCACATACGAATTTCTCCTTCCTTCCCGATTTATAGAATACGCTCTTTCAGTTCCTGACTCCTTGTACCCAAAACAATTATAGTTCAATAAATCTCTGTGTCAGCTTGGGGAAGAAAATTATCCTGGAAGTAGGAGCTGCCAGTTCTTTCATATAAAACATGTCTGTGGCCAGAGAACCAGGACGGTATCTGACGGTATTTAATTGACGGTATTTGAAATGTTGGCTGATAAAAATAATCCTACTTGCGGAATCTGCCAGGCACGCGTGTGATTAAACTGTGTTAGAACCTGGGCTCCCCCGTTTCAGGTTGCGAGCTCTGGACTAGCTACATAACTTAAGTCTCAGGCTCCTCACCTCTACGAAGAGTCCCTATCTAACATGGTGACTAGTAAATGAGATTGTCATAGTACGTGCTTAAATGTGAGCTCTTCATTATTATGAATGCCATTGGAGGTATGAAATACCACGTTCTTCTCAAACCGTACACCGTCGAAGAGTCAACCATCCAAGATACCGGCTGCATGATGAGGGCACCTTTATCCTCCTGTTTCAAAAGCCGCCTCCTCCAAAGCCTGCGCTTTTGTGACGGCAGCTGTGGTTCGGCCCTGCCCCCCGCCACTTGCCACCCGTGGCCAGCCAGCTGGGCGGAGCACAGAGAGCAACGAGGTGGCCGGCTTTCAGGAGCAGCGTTCAGAATGCGCCACAGACAAGCGACAGAAGGACAAAGAGGGACTCGGGGTTCTGAGCTGGCTTTAACGCCCCAGCCTCATCCTTCACTACTCGTCCACCCTAAATGCCACTCTCGATTACATTATTAAAACGCCTGCATATTAAGACACGACAGAAGAACAAGCCGTCACGGTCACATGTCAGGCCCTCGTGCCGCTGACCCTTGAACAGCGTGGGTTTCTACTGCGTGTGTCCACTCGCACGCGGATGTTTTGCAATAAATGCTGTAAATGTATTTTCTCTTTCTTATGACTTTCTTCATAACGTCTTCTTTCCTCCAGCTGACTTTATTGTAAGACTACAGTGTGTAATACATGCAACATATAAAATACATGTTAATGAACTGTTTACGTTGTCAGTAAGGCTTCTGGTCAAGGTAGGCTGTTAGCAATTAAACTTTGGGGAGTCAAAAGTCATATGTGAATTTTCAACTGTGCGCCTAAGCCCTGCATTGTTTAGGGGTCAACTGTACATGCTGCTAACTCCCTCCCATCCTTCTAGGCTCTGCTCAGGTGTCGCCTCCTCTGACAGCCTGTCATGACGCCCTCTCCCCTCCCAGTCTGTAGTAAGTACCCTTTTATGTTTGTAGCCTAGCCCCAGGCCTGATGTCCAGTGGCTCGCCATAAGCTGGGGTGCTTACTCTCACCACTCCTGCCTGAGAGAGGGGAACGTGCTTCTCTATTTCAACTTCTGCTGCCTTAAAAAGGCTGACCTACATGTTCTTTCTTTTTATAACACTCAAAATCCTAGTAAAAAGGAAGGGCATGTGTAGCATAAACTGAAACTTGGCAATCTACAGCCCATGAGCCAAATCTGGCCCACTGCTTAATTTTATAAATAAAGTTTTATTGGAACACATTTATGCCAATTCACTTACATATTGTCTATGGCTGTTTACTAATTTCAGTGGCAGAACTGAACAGCTGTAATAGAAACTGTAATGGTCCCCAAAGTGGGAAGTGTTTACTGTCTGGATCTTTACAGAAAGTTTGCTGACCCTGACTTTCAACAAATCTAGATTTCACCTTCGCTACTGTCAAGTTCTTCTGCCCCTGAAAAACATACAGCCTACCTGGGCCAGGATGTCGTGCCTGATGAAATATGTCAGGGACCAGATGCTGACTGACACTTTCTACAGACTGAATGCTTGTGTCTCCCTCCCCCGAGTCACATGTCAAAGCCCTAAGCCCCAACTTTATGGTAATTGGAGATGGGACCTTTGGGAGGCAATTAGGCTTAAAAGAGCTTAGGAGCATGAGGTCCCCATGATGGCATCATCGCTTTGTAAGAAGAGACCCCAGCTGCTTCTCTCCCACATGTAAGGGTGCAGGAACAAGATGGCCATATGCAAGCCAAGGAGTGTCCTGACCAGGAACCAAATCAGCTGGCACTTAGATCGTGGGACTTTCCAGCCTCAAGAACTGTGAGAAATAAAGTTATTTTGTTTAAGCCACCCAGTCCACGGTATTTCTATAGCAGCTTAAGCCGACGAAGGCACAGTCTAAGAAACAGTCACCGCCACCACTTACGCAGCACTGGCTGTGTGTCAGGCACTTACGTGCATTAGTCACGTAAGCCTCTGAAGAACCCTACAATGCAGACCGTCATGTGCCCATTTTATAGATAAGAATCTGAGAAACAGATGTAAAGTAACCTGCCCAAAGCCACTCAGCTAGCAAACGGTAGAGCTGCGATTAAAACGGACGGTTGAGCCCCTGAAGCCACATTCCTACCCAATTATCTGCTTCTCCAAGAGGCTCTACACTGAGTGACTGTCCAGAACAGACTCCAACTGATAACTGCATCCTTTTCTAGGATTTCCTGTAAGTCTCCAGGATCCAGGTTGCTCTGGACTCAGGGACAGTGCCAGAGGAGGGTTTGAGCAGAGAGAACGTCTGGGACCCTACACTGAGTGACTGCCCAGAACAGACCCCAACTGATAAGTGCACCCTTTTCTAGGATTTTCTGCAAGTGTCTGGAACCTCACGTGTTCTCCAGAATCCAGCTGCTCTGGACTCAAGGACAGTCCCAGAGGAGGGTTTGAGCAGAGAGAACGTCTGGGACACGCACCGGGCAGCGTCAGGACACCTGCCAGAGCTGAGTGCAACCACTGGGTCAAGTACGGGAACCCTTACGGCTTCCGAAAGCTTCAGGGCATAATCGGTACATTTGGCAAACACTGACTCGGGATGCAAACCATTTCCACAGATTACATGCGAAGTGCCGTACGGTCGCTGCAAACTGGGATAAGCATTCAAGTTCACTGTCAGCCAAATGTTTTGTTTTCACGTCCAAAAAAAAAAAAATGAAAATGAAAATTAGAAAGCATTACTCTGCTCTGAGGGAGCCGCATATGAAATTCCAACCCAAACAAGTATGACCTTCTGAGGTTGGAAAGGGGAAAATTCAGAATTACGCAACTTGAAATCGCTTTTGCAAGCCCCTCCCCAACGAAGCGCCACGGCTAGGTGGGCAAACGTCTCCGGAGTGGAAACCAGCCTCTCCCTGCTGCGAGGGAGCCCCGTGTGCTCGCTCCCGTGTCCGGTACCTGTGAGGGCCCTGGTGTCGGCCTTCCTGCTCGCCTGGCGGCCCCGCTCAGCCCACACGTAGACGCTGTACGCCTCTCCCGGCTTCAGGCCCGTCAGGACGGTGCTGTTCTGCTCCCTGGGGACCGCTGTGTCCTTGGTCTCCCCATCCGCAGAGGTATAGCGCACCACGTACTTATCTACGACAGCCTGGACAGGGTCCCAGGAGACCACCGCCGTGTCTTCTGTCACTCGATCAGTGGCCACATTGGTTGGGCCATCAATTTCTTCGTAAAAATACATGAGAAAGAAAAATTAGAGAAGCCACGTGGCTGGTCAAGATCACAGATGCTTCACGATCTAGTTCACCTGGGCGACCTAGTTCCATAGTCCACACAATGCAACAAGGTCTTGCCGCCATCTGTGACAGGTAGACAACCGGCCTCTGCTTGAACCCAAAGCTGAGAAAGGGCTTCCTGATGGACAAAACAATCCCTTCCATTAGAGAAAACTCCAAGTGTAGCTGCTCGAAGTGTAAACTGCTTTAAAAGTGTCTATGTGTGGCAGGCATAAGAAACACGTACGCCAAACTCCTCTTCCAGGAGACCATCGGAAGGCACTCGGGGACGGTTACCTCACTGTCCCCCCAGTCAGACAGCTTCGACTCTCCAACTTACAGACTTACAAGCCATAAACTTGATTACATTATGCATAATACATTATATTACACTTCCGAATGATCGTTTCTAGACCTTACATCTCGACATGCTTTCTTTTCCTCCTCAGAGAAAAATCTCCAAATCTTGGTTCATTCATTAAACAATTTGTCGAGCGTCCATTCCACGCTTGGGAATATAATGGCACTCGAGAGTCACCAAGGAACGAAAGAATCAGAAATCCCTGTTCGTGCTGAGTTTATGTTCCAGAAGGACCGACCCAGACCAATATGCCCCCCATGTCCTACACACTGTGCTCCCAATAACAAATCCTCATCCCGCAGCCTCAGAAAAATCCAAGTTTTTTCATGTGCGTCTCTGCTAAGCGAGGGGTTCTCAACCTTTGTCAACATTAGGCACCTGCTAAATACCACAGAGTCTGCTCGAGGAGGTCTCAGACAAGCCCTGACGTCTCCATTAGAAAAGCAATAAGCAAAACTACACAGGTGATTCTGAGGCGCATCAAAGGCTGGAGCCCCGGCTTCCCCATTTTTCATTTTCTCAACCCAACATTCATCCTTGTTTGATTCTATCTTATGGATTCCATTTATAATTTAGTCTTTCACGCCCACTTTCCCCTCTAGCTTATCATTTGCAGATCTAGTAAGTAAGCCACCCGAGGGCATCTATCAAGGTCGCTGGTAAAGAGCTTCACAGAGACCCCTCCCTACACACAGATCAGTAGAGACACAGGATGGTTTCTTACTCTCATAGACCTAAGCAGCCTTCCTTCCTCCCCGTTCTGCTCCAGCTCTCTCACCCGAGAATTCCCCAGCAGAGAAGTTACACCTTTACACAGCTGCATTTTTTAACACCGACTACGATGCATCTTTCTCAAGAACAATGGCAGTGTTTTATTTGTGTGCATGGAAATGAAATATGTTCCATCACCAGAGGCAATATACATTTTATTTAATAAATTGACTGCCGTTTATTGAGCACACACTAAGTGCTGGGTGCTTTTCACACATTACTTTGTCAAACCTCAGAGTTATCGTCGCACAGGCATCTGTCAGATTCCCCATGGACTAGCTTGGAAAATTAATACTAGTTACCATGTTTAGAGCACTAACTATATGCCAGGCCCAGAGCGGGTCGATAACTTGCCCTAGGTCGCTAGTAGGTGGTAGTCACCGACTCATTCCGCGAACATTCACTGAGCGCCTATTTGGAACTGGGGATTCAGCAGTGTCATGAGTTAAACAGTGTCTCCCACAAAAAAGATACATTGAAGTGCCAACCCTCAGCACCTCCAAATGGGACCTTATTTAGAAGGAGGTTCTTTCTAGAGATAATCAAGTTAACATGAAATCTCCAGGGTCGGCCTAATCCGAAAGGACTGCTTTCCTCCTGAGAGAGGGACATTCGGACACAGACACAGATGCACAGAAGGAAGAGGATGTGGAGAGACACGGACAAGACAGCCCTGCGGGTGGATGCTGCGCCTACGAGCCAGGGGAAGCCAAGGTTTGCCGACACACGCCAGAACTAGAAGAGGAAAGGACGGATTCTCTCCCGGAGCGGTCGGAGAGAGCCTGGCGCTGCTTACACCCTGATTTCAGACCTGAAGCCTCCACGACTGTGGGACAGTACATTACTATTGTTCTGAGCCACCCAGGTTTTGGTCCTTCGTCAGGACAGCCCTAGGAAACTAACAGAAGCAATGAGCAAGACGAAGACTCTGCTAGGAAGCCTGCATTCTCCCGAGGAGCCGGACAGTGAACAAGAAGACAGTAAACAGAAGATAGCTGTGATTTTTAAATAGGGAGATCAGGAAAAAAATCTATCTCACCGAGAAGGTGCATTTGAACAAAGACATCATCGAAAGGAAGCAGTGGGCCATGGCACTCTGGGGGAACCTCACCCAAAGGCAGAGGGAGCAGCAGGCTCAGAGTCCTGCTCCACGGGCAGCAGGTGGCCAGGGCTGCCGGGCAGAGTATGTGAGGGCTCGAGCGGTAGAGGTGAGGCCAGCGGGGTGACGGGTGAGCGGACCGCGGACGGCCTGCGAGGCCACTGTGGCTTTTGCACTGAACGAGGCGAGGAGCGTCTGGGGTTTTGCACAAAAGAGGAGCCTCGTCTGATCTCGGAAGCTAAGCAGCATGATCTGACCTGTGCTATCTCTGGAAGCCGGAGAAAGTACAGACTGCAGCAGGTCAAGCGTGAGGTCGCCTCGGAGGCCGTGACCCCAGTTCAAGTGCGAGCTGGCAGGAAAGTGCACAGCCTGGCAGCGATGAACTTCACGAGAAAGGTGGGGGCTGGGGGACTCCGAAGGTAAAGGTGTGGGGAGCTGCTGACGGATTCGACGTAGGTACAAAGACTTGTTGGTTTGGGGCCTGATGGAGAAGTCTGGGGACACGTCTCCTGAATCCCCCGAAGACACTAGCCTGGCGTGTGCGTGCGGCTCCGAGGCCAACCTGCTCCTAAGCCTCACTTTCTAGAAGGCCCGTCCATGCGCCTCGCGTGTGTCGACAGGTGGGGATTTTTAAGCGACTCCTTTCGTGGAACAGCTCCAGTGAGTGACTTGTTAGATGGGAAGTACCTGAACTGTGACGTCCCTCCCCGCACGTGCTCACGCTGTTCTTATAGTCCAGCCTCTGCCCCAAAACATTTGGAGGAACAAGAGGTTGTTTTCTTCCCTTAAATCAATTAACAGTCTAGCCAGGTTTGAGAATGTTTCCTGATCTTAGAAACTACTGTGTCTTTTTCTGCATGTTAGTAAGACACATGACACAAACTTATTTGCAACCCATTAAATATCCCATCCTGTTTTCAGAATACAACAGACAATAAAAACACCTCCTGGTCTATGGCCATGCCACCCCGAACAAGCCCGATCTCGTCTGATCTCGGAAGCTAAGCAGGGTTGGGTCTGGTTAGTACTTGAATGGGAGACCACCTAGGAAGACCAGGTGCTGTAGGCATTTAAAAAAACAAAAACAAAAACAAAAAAACTAGCAACTCAAGGCCTATGTGATGAAACGCTCTGGGAATTCAGAGCCGAGGATGGCTGCCATGCAATGGGGTCCTAGAAGGCCTCGGCGGAGTGGCCGAGGCTGGAGCCGAGCCTGGAAGCAGGAGTGATGTTGCCGTGAGCCCCAGGACGTACCATCTCTGGAGGCACGTGAAGGTCAATGCCCAGCGGCTCTCTGAGTGAACGTTAGCTGGGCTGGATTGACTGGCAGCTAGAGGTCACCATGGAGGGATTTCTAGGCTGGCGTAGCCACACGAACCAAGCTCGCTGCAGAGATAAAGCTGCCGTGTTAGGAACCCTGAGAACCATCCAGAGGAGCCGTGAGAAAGACGATGGCCCAGGCTGGATACCACCGAGGCCGAGATAAAAGGCCGGGGGCGTCATGGAAACGTTTCTAGTTCGGGAGTAAACAGCATGAAAATGAACCAGAAATAATGGACAAGAAGGGAAAAGCAGGAGGCACGTTAGCTCTGTGTGCACCAAAGTTAACACCCTCAGTCCTCTCCCGCTGGATGGACAGCCTTGAGTTTAACGTCGCTAAACCTCGTTTTTCTTACATATGCTTTGGAAATAACAAAGGACCTACTGCGTAGAATTATGGTGAGAACTAAGTGAGATGATTCACAAAAAGTGCTTCGTTAATGAAACGCCTGGCACACAGCAGGCCCTCGGTAAACTCACAGCCTGAAGGGAGAGCCCCTGGAAGCAAGGAAGAATTTGTCATTTTCCACCTCACCACGACTTCACTGGCCACCACTCAGGCCGGCCACACAGTCTGCACTGCACAGTCCATCAGTGACATCAGACCTCGTCTTTTATAATTGCCAAACCAAACTCCTTCGCACTCCAGATATGCGAACTGCTAGGCAGCCAAAGTTGTGGATTTAATTCTGGCGACATCTCATCCTTGTTCGACACCCCGACCAGCCACAGCCAGGACCGTGAGGAAAAGAACTAGAAAACTTTTCAAGGACGTCTCCGCATTCAAAGACCCCTCCTCTGCTGGCTCCAGGGATGAGCCTCCACCCAGCACCATTCTGTTCTAGATCATGGGCTCCCACCTGCGGTTGGCAGGGCACAGAGTTACTGCAGGAGGCTCACAATTCAATACTTGAGCTGGGAGGACCTGGGACAAGGACCTCCCCTCCCCAGCCGAGCACCTGAGCCCTCACGCACCGTCTAAAAACTGAAATTACGTAGGCTACCTTACATGTGTGCTTACAGTAATTTCGAATTCTTTTCTGATTAATAAATGACTGATTTATTTCCAAATTTACTGATTTATAATCACACGTCATTATATATTTTCTCAGTCCACAGATGGCATACATAACACTGTCCCATGGGAGGGTCCTTGACATCGTCTGACATTTTAAAGCAGACAGCCTGAGTGTCGCTATCACAGTCCACCAAGAAAATAAATCACAGGCCACCTGCCACAGGTGGATGGAATTGTGTGCTGAGGTCCACTTTAATAAAGGCTGTAAAAATCATCCAGTGATTGAAGCTTTAACAAAAAGAAGAAAGGTTCAGAAATGGTCTTTTCGCTTGACTCCAAGATCCCGGGGGAGATTTTCAACGGCGAGAAAAAATTTGAAATAGGAGAAGTTTGCTTCCCCTCCCTCACCTTCCCAAATAGAAATCGGCGCACAAATATAGAAGATCTGTCTGCACACAAACCCCAGAGTTTTCACCCAGAGAGGAGGGAGCCGAGAACATCATCAGAATGAAGGAGGAGACAGGCCCGCGTTTCCCGGCGGCCCCTACCTGTCCTGCCGGTCAGGACGATCGGCTTGCCCTCCTGGTCACCTGTCACGGGGACGACCGTGATCTCATACTCTGTCCCGGGCTGCAGACCTGGAAACAAGGGGCCAGCGCTGGACCTCGGTACGGGATGGGGACCCTCAACCCCCAGCACTGTTCCTCCCAGGGTGAGGGGTGGGGGGTGGCAGGGAGGAGGCCAGAGCGGAGGAGATGAAGCCGATGGGGCCCCCTCCCCTACTGGGCCACCTAGCACTGACTCCCCCACCTACTTACGGCCCAAACGCTTTTCTGCCCCAACAACCTTTTCCCTCAAGTTTCTTTCCTTCTCATTATAATAATTAGCCTAATTCTTTCCTCTTTCAATTTTTTTTCTTTTCTCCGCCTTTTTATTGTTGTCATTTCTCTGTAAGAGCATCTTCAACGACTGTCCCCATGACACAAACACTCAGACTCCGGTGGGAAAATGCGAGCAAACAGCAGCGTATGTGAGGCCCACGGTTTTCCACTCACAAACAGTGGGAACCCCAGGACGTCCGTTCAAGAAGGAACTCCGGGAGCGGACGAAGGAAGAAGGCCCTGGGGTGGGGGGCTTCCCCGGCGCTGACAGGCCTCGGGCCCCTCACCTGCAGGGGCCCCTTGCACGGCCACGTGCCCGGCTGGGCGATCATGACTACATGTGGCTTTCCTTATAGGGGGCCCTGAAAACTGTGTAAGCTTCAGGCCTCACAAAACGTGGCCAGCCCTGCAGGGCCCTGCTTCCTTAACAGCGCTGATTCCTGCTCTCCAGCATTAACTCGGGGACCTGGGACAAGGACCTCCCCACCCCAGCCTCCACACATTGTGCCACAAACACCGATCCCCATCAATCAATTTCTTACTGTCTCTCTCTCTCTCTCTCTCTCTCTCTCACACACACACACACACACAGAGTTTTTCCAAAAGACATGTCTATGTGCCACCACATCCACCGTGAGACACAGACAGGGTCCTCAGGAGGACACAGGGCGAACACTTTGGACGTGTGCTCTGCTAACTGGGGCTTATGCTTCCGGAGTCCATTCTGCAATGCCGGGCATAGTCTGTGGGCCTCCAGGGCGGGCTCACGTCTGGCAGTTCCCGAGGTCAGAGTTTAAGTGATTCCTAAGGCCCCAGGACCCTCCGTGCACACCTGAGCTGTACAGATGTTGGTCCCCTGCGCCCACTGTCTCCACCTCGGCACCTGCAGCCAACATCTCCCATCATCTTACCGGTGATGTCATATCGGCTCTTGGGGTCACTGCTCTTGGGCACGGTGACCTCGGCCACCTCCTGCCCTGTCAGGGGGCCGTAGCGCAGCTTGTAGTAGTCCACCTCGGTCGGGGGGTTCTCCCACTCCACGTCAAGGGAGTGCTCCGTCTCGTCTGTCACCCAAGCAGTGCCAAGCACAGCAAGATCTAGGGCAGGGACAGTAAGAGAAGGCAGTGGTGGCCTCAGCAGGTCTGTAACTACCAGGCTGGCTCCCCATCCTGATGCGCTGAGAGAAGATTCAGCCCGAAGACACAGTCCCCAACCCGTATCCTAGAACCACTGAAGTAGCCAATAAAGTCTTGGTGTGCACTCTGTCCATGGAGGACAGACCCCCTGCCGGGGAGCCTCCTCTCCCCACTCACCCACAACCAGACTCCGACGGGAATCTACAAACGCTCCCCCCTCTCTGCCTGAAAAAGCCACCTGCCCCGTCCCCTCCCCACGCCAGGTCCTTGGGAAATAAGCCCAAGCTGAAGCCGGGAAAAGTGGACCCGCAGCAGCTACAAAGCAGCCCAGAAGTTGTGGGGGCGAGGGGGGGAGAAGGGGTAAGCCAGGGTCCCCTCTCTGATGCTAGACGGCAAGAGGCAGGTAGGTGGAGGAGTGCGCCAGGCCCTGGGGTTCTCAGAACACCTGCTTTCCTTCCCCCAAACGCTTTCGACGCGGAGACTCCCGGGGCAAGCGCTCCAGGCTTCACTCCGGCGGTGCCCAGGTCTAACACACCCAGGTGCTCTGAACGGCAGCAGGTCCTTCGGGCTTAAGAACGTGCCCGAAGGACCCCTGGTTATTAGGATCAGTTTATGTTAAAAAAAAAAAAAATGTTTTTTAAAGAAAATGAAAAAGTGGTGATGGGAGCTCACTAGCCACAAAATCGAACTGTAGTGCTTTATTACTAACAAAAGTTAAGAATTTGCTGAGTATCTGAGGACCAGAAATCTTACGTACATCGTGTAGAACTCTCAGAACTAGACTAGTTGATAGAATTACCCTCACTGGACAGTTGAGGAGACTTAAGGCATTTGCCCAAAGTCACGGAGCTAAGAAGTGGCAGAACTGGCATTCGTCCCCAGTCTCGTCTGGCTTTCCTGTCTACCCCACCGCTGTCCCCTACGGTGAGATGGATCCTCAGGTGAAACACACCCCCCTTCCCCCCGTCTGGAAGCAGGTGTCCAGGCTCATTTTAAGGCCCCGCTCTGCTCATGCTCCGGATGCCCCCTGGAGCCAGTGCCAGAGATAAAGCCCCCAGAGAGGTCGGAAGGCACCAGTGCTCAGGAGGCTGGCGGAGCACCTGGCATGTAGAAGGTGCTCACTGAGTGTTTGTTGGATGAATACCAGGGGGTGAGCTCACCGGCAGCTCCTTGGCAGCAGCGCTGGGTGTCACACTGTTCCTTCACCTCTGCCATCTCCTCCTCCAGCTTCTTCACCCGGCCCAGGAGGTCCTGGACAAGGCCTGCCAGCTCGCAGTCCTTCGGTGGCGTCTGCAGGCGGATGTTATGTCTGAAGATGATATTCTGTTCCTCGGCCTCCCCCGGGGCCAGGAGCGAGGCTCCGTCGTCACCCAAGGGCGGAGGGTCGGCCTCCACTTGGACCAGGGCGGACTTGGGCACATCGATCCTGTACGTGTGACTGACGGTGACCTGTTGTTGCTCCTTGTCGCTGCAGTCATGAGACTCAAGAGTTGCCGGCCTGTCCTCACCACCCTGGGCCAAGCACTGAACTGCCCCTCAGGCTGGCCATCACGGCCACTCAGCCCAGGGGTCAGACTGCTCTGAACTGAACACTTGCTCTTCAGCTACAGGCCCCGGCCTTCAACACCTAGCCCAGGGTGGAAGCTCATGGCTCAGGGCCATCCGGGGAAAGCCCAGGAAGCGCATTTCATGTGTCCTGAGTGTGACGCTGATGACGCACCCCGCTCCTTCTGTGTCCTGCAGACCCCAGCCCTGCTCTCGAATGCCCCCGAAGGGTTAAGCCCAGGGAAAACTGTGAAGCGGGCAAATTTCAATCTGGTCCTTCTGCGTAACCTTCCTGCAGCTTCGACCAAACTGCAGCACCTCCGCCAGGAACCTGTCCATCCCGTGAAGGAGATACACTGTACTCATCTATTCACCGTACAGTGTTACAGTCATGGCTGATTTTACCCCTCTACGCAGGAAAAATGTATACAATGACTAACACAAAGGAATGGGTCGCTGATGTGGCCCCAAGGGAGGGACTGCTGGGTGGCGGCCGGAGAGGGGACTGGCGTCTTTGGGAGTATGTAGAAGTCCCACAGCCAGGTCCCAGGCTGATGAGCCTGCCCTGAAGTCTGGAACATGGAAGACATGTCCCCAGACTCTGAGCCTAGTCCTAGCTAGAGTGACACCATCCAAGCCCCACCCATGCCTTTATAAATCATCTCTCCATTAAATGTTCGTCGCCATCCTCTGCTCCCTCTCCCTCCTCCACAGATGAATCTAATGTGTGGCTTCAGCAGGTCCTCACCTGGCCCACCCTGAAGTAGCTGAGTGCACTGAGGCTCAGTGAGGGCCTGGGGGTGCGGGCGTACCCCTGGCTGTCTGTGTGTGGGCACAGGACAATCAGACCTCACTAATCTCAGGGGCGCAGAAGACCCCTTGAGTTCCAATCCAGCAGGCTCTGTCGCTGGCTTGGAGGACCCAGCAGTTGGCGAGCAGAGAGAGGAGAGTGAGGGCTGAGACTTATCTCCAGAACTAGGGTTGCAGCACCCATGTTTTTCAGCCCCAAATCAGGACAACCGCCTGACTCGTGGAAGGGTGGTCGTGGGGGCGAAGGACGAAAATGTTCCAAACGAGGCCTCTCCTGGAGAACCTGAGACACCTGGCTGCCGCCTCACCTGTGGTGGCGAGCAGATGCCGCGGGCCGCTGGAGACCTCCTTCTTCACGTTGCGCAGGGTGACTATGTACTTGGTTCCCGGCAGCAGACCCTGGATCTCGTAGCTGTGCTGCTGCCTGGGCACGTGGATCTGCTTGGCAGAGAGCTCCGCCCCCAGGGGGTGGTAGCTGAGCAGGTAGTGGTCCACCTCGCTGGACGGCGTCCAGCTCACCAGCAAGGACTCCTCTGTGCTCTTGAGCAGCTGCAGGTCCTGGGGGGCTACCACTGCAGAAGGAGCGGGAACAGGAGGGAGAGGGTGAGGAGGGAGGGGAGACCCCACAGCCGGTGAGGACGTGCTGAGCACCTACTGCGTACTGAGCAGTGTGATGGCAGGTGTGGAGAGTGTGGAGGCTGTGATGCTGACCACACGCGCGCGCGCGCCGGCAGATCCCAGAGCCCAGCGGCTGCAGCACCACCTGGGAACGGGTCAGAGGTGCGAACTCGCTCCCGCCCCACCCGCCGAATCGGAAACTCGGGGTGGGC